TTAATAAATGACAAATTAATAAAAAGGCATGAACATTTTTTTTGTATCGAAAAAATATCGAACCGTGACACCAAAGTATCGAACCGAACCGAACCGTGAATTTTGTGTATCGTTGCACCCCTACCGTTTACTTCACCCTTTTTCCTATCTTTCACCAACCTGGCGTCACCCCCAGCTTAATACCCACACAGATAATAATATGAATAATAAAATAAAATGAATAAATAAACCAAAAACATTTACAAGAGGAGCCTACAGACAGTCTATGCTCCTCTTAGGAAAGCAAATGTGTTTTCCACAATAAAGCATTCAGACCATGACTCTGCTTGCTGCACAGGACAGGTTTAAAAAATAAAATTAAAAAAAACTTACAAAATAAATAAATAAACAAAATAATGATTCGTTCAGCTATAATGACGTCTGACGTTATTCCACAATATCTAGCTGTGGTGCAAGTGGTGCAAGTCTATTTTTCTACTCAAATTTGAAATAACTAAAGAAATGTTCGCCTACCTGGCAGAGAAGTTGTTTGGTATTTTGAAGGACATCATGGTAGTGTTTGGCTGTGGCTGGGTTCACCCCCGACAACTTGGCTGTAGGGAGGAGAAGGGCTGCAAGGGTCTGCTCATGATCACCTGAGTTTAGTGCCTCATTGATCTCAGCTATGGCTATGATTCCTGTAGGTGGAGGACCAAAAAACAAAAAAACAAAAGCCTCTCAGACAAGTTAAGAGCACAGATTGTGTTTCATTTTTCAGTGTAAGACGATGCCTAAAAAACTGTTGTAAGGTTTCAAACATCTGTGTAATTTGAGAATATTCCTGAAACAGTGGGAGTATTTTGAGCACTTTTACATCATGTCCACCTCAGCAAACTGTGTAGTTTTACGCCTTTTTGAGCCTCAGGGAAATTATTTATGTTTGAGCAGTTTGGAGTTAATTGTTTGTTATTCTCAAAGTTACAATTTAGATTGGGTGTGATATCGTAGCTTGACTCAGTGTGATGTCTGATATGGTTCTCGTAGCAGACAAAAACACTTTAAGGAATCACCAGCACCTTCAGGTTTCAGTCCAGCATGAGTAATTGTCACATGTCTGTCTGAACTGTACATATCTGTGAGCTTCTACATGCCTCATCTCTCTCTACGTACAACATATCGCCATATGTTACTCAACAAAAGATCACTGTGTATTAGTTACATTTACAGCAAGTATCAAATCTCCTACTTTTATTAAGAGGCCAGTTCTAGTTTTGTTATATGCAGATATGTCCTAGCAAAGTTTAGAGAACTGAGATTGTTTTACAATGTACGAGGAGAAACAAGGAGAAGCCTAATGATTCATTCAGTAGTCACCAAATTGCATAGCAAATTGATTAGCTGCACAGGACAAAACACTTGCTACACTTGTAAACTAGAAGAGGAAATCAGCAAGACGTTCTTACGTTCATGCTCTTCTTGGACCTGAACATTCACGGTGTCGATGCATTTCTGGACATCATTCCAGGTTAGAAACTCTTGGCCTGTGGAAAGCGCCTCAGCTCGCTCTTTGATAAGCATGTCAGAATACCTGAGGAAAGAAGGACTTATGTAACCAGAAATAGTTTGGATGTGCAAATACATTATAACTTAATTTTTAAGTCATAAATAAATAAAAGAAAAAACTATGACATTACAGCAACAACAAAACACTCATGGGTGTAATGTATTTTTGGTGTCCTCATAGTCTGCCCACCACAGCACAGTGGCATTTAGCACTTTAGCACCACAGCTGAGCAGACAGCAGTGTGGAACCAAGTGTTGCCTGTATTGTAAACTGATAACTTTCTGAAGCAAATCGTTAACCTTATAAGCTTATAAGTGTCCCGTCATACAGTACAGCAGGACAAATGTTTGAGAAGAGCCAAAAGTTACACCAACCTGCTACCCATTTTTAGACATAAAACTGATTTTTGTTCATGTGGTGCATTCAATATACCAAGCAACTAACAGACTAGAAGAAAAATCATCATACAGAAAAAAAGCTCTGCAGATTTAATCTCGTCAAATTAGTTTTTCTCCCCC